CCCAGCACACGTGATGCTCGTGGTCCGTGTTATCGTGTTATTCATGATCCTTTCACTTCAGTTTACACATTTAATTTTGCATCGTTTTGAATTTCTGGACAGATGAGGAACTTTTTACTATTTTTAACCTTTACTTGACTAGAAAAACTGTCTTTGCGTTGGTTCGCTGAGCTGCAGCATCAGAGCACGGACGGCGCAGCTTTCTGTCTGCGATGTCAGAGTAACTCTGAGGGAGTCGAGTACTCGAGTAAAGTCAGTGTGAGGAGGATGCGTGGCGGTGCCGTTGGTCCTCCTGTGAGCTTCGCTGTCGTCTCGCACCAAAATGAAAACAGACGGTTTATTTTAGTCTCTCCCTGATGACGCTTCCAGATGTTTCCCTCTCACAGTGTGGGTGCAGCGAAACTCGAAAACGAGAAGCGGACGATTTTCTTTCTGCACATTCAGACTCAGCAGGGTGGAAAATGTTTGCATGTGACAGCTGCTCTCAAAGCTGATGAAGGTCCAGCTTCAATCCAGCCCTCGCCTTCAGAGCGGTGCCTCTCTGATTGGCTGAGCACAAACCAGGCCGCCCCCACCTGATTTGTTTTTCATAGAGATGAGATTTAAACGAAACCTCCGTTCAATCATTCACGTGGAACCTAAATAAAGATGCTCATAAATAACTTCAGATTAAAGAAATTAAAGCGTTCCCTCATTCTCACGTCCACGTGCAAAAAACCTGCTCTGAACCAGGAAAGCGTGGGATTGGATGCGAAGAGGGGGAGGGGTCAGAGCATCAAGAGTTTGGTCCAGTAAAGTTGGCGTGAGTTCAGGGCTCGTATCTGCAGCCGTTTAAAGGCCGACCTTTGAGAAGCAGCTTCAGCGTTTTGGTCTCTGCTGCCAGAGACGCTGCTTCCTCTGAGGTGAGCGTGGACAGGAAACTGGGAGCTGAAGGCCGAGGCTTTCCGCTGCACTGATTTTCAGCGGCGCTCTCTTTCCACCGGAGGCCTCAGCTCCACCTCGGTGTGGAAACTCTTATTTTGGGATTCCTGCCTGAAATCAAAAGAGGAACAGGACGCCGACCGCAGCGCGGTGCTCTCATAACACCAGCGTCTGCTCAGACGGCTGACGAGCCACAGAGTTCTTCTTCATCGTAGCATTAAAGAGAAACCTCGACATGACGAGTCTGCCCGCAAAGAAACACCAGACAGGAACAGCAGCAGCTGAACTTTCACAATAAGAGCACGTTGTCACAGGGAAGCTTGATGAGGCATTTGAAGCCCACACTTCCACAGTCAGTGATCAGAGGTGCTTATGAGTCCTGCTGCTTATGAGGGGCAGCCAATCAGGAGGAAGAACTAATGGCGGTCAGAGTGTGTTTCCTCTGTGTGGTCTTTGTAGTTTAAATAAACTGAACAGAGGAGCTGAAGAAACAGTCGAGATGAGCGAAGCGTTGAGGCTGAACTCGGACTCTGGCGCAGCCGCCATGATGTCACCCAAAGGTTTCAGGCTTCACATCTTAACGCGAGCATTTTAGCCACCGCCTCGCCATCAGCGTCGGCTTCCTGTTTAGCACTCAGGCCTAAAAGCCTGATGGCGTCGCCCTGCTGTCAGGCAGCGTGGACGCCAACGACTGTGACAACGTGAGAACGAGGTAATGTAAGATCGTCACGGTCGCTCCACAGACGCATC